GGGCTCAGGTTTCTGATTCCCTCACCTGGTCGTTGTTGTCCTTGAACAAGTTTTCAGGTTATTGGGAGAATCGAGTAACCAATGACTTAAACTCTCTCTCATAAATATCCAATAAAGAAGCTCAATGAAGATAGTTTAGTGGCTTGCTTGCAGTCTCACAGCTAATACATGGTAGCTATGGGGCTGGGAGACAGCTTCAGGCTTCAGACTGTGAGTAGACTCATTTAGGGTTTTAGTTTAAAATGCAGATTATCGGGACGCCTGGGTGGCTCGGTTGGTTAAGCTGCTGCCTTCGGCTCAGGTCACGATCCCAGCGTCCTAGGATGGAGCCCCACATCGGGCTCCTTGCTCGGCGGGGAGCCTGCTTTTCCCTCTGCCTCTGCTGCCACTCGGCCTGCCTGTGCTCGCTCGCTCTCTCTGGCAAATAAATAAATAAAATCTTTAAAATAAAATAAAATAAAATGCAGATTATCAGGGCACCTGGGTGGAGCTGTGGGTTAAGCCTCTGCCTTTGGCCCAGGTCATGATGTTAGGGTCCTGGGACCAAGCACCCCCATCAGGCTCTCTGCTCAGCAGAAGCCTGTTTCCCCCTCTTTGCCTACTCGTGATCTCTCTCTGTCAAATAAATAAAATCTTTAAAGATTAAAAAAATAAAATAAAATGCAGATTATCAATAATCTATTAGAAAACTTGAAAGATGCTACCCAAAAACTGCTTCAGTTGATAAATTCAGTAAAGTCACAGGATATAAAATCAATGTGCAAAAATCTGTTGCATTTCTGGACACTAATAAAGAAGCAGCAGAAAGAGAAAGGAAGAAAACAATCCCATTTACAATTGCAGCAAAAATAATAAGGTACCTAGGAGTAAACCTAACCAAAGAGGTGAAAGCCCTGTACTCTGAAAACTATAGAACACTGAAGAAAGACACTGAAGAGGACACAAAAAAAGATACTCCATGTTCATGGACTAAAAGAACAAATACTATGGAAAATGTCTCTACTACCCAAGGCAATCTACACATTTACTGCAATCCTTATCAAAATACCAACAGTATTTTTCATAGAACTAGGACAAACAATCCTAAAATTTGTGTGGAACTACGAAAGACCCCAAAGAGTGAAGCAATCTTGGAAAAGCAAAGCTGGAGGCATCACGATTCTGGACTTCATGTTTTATCACAGAGCTGTTAGTGATCTAGACAGTATGGTATGGGCACAAAAACAGACACAGAGATCAGTGCAACAGAACAGAAAACCCAGGGATGGACCCACAACTCTATGGTCAACTAATCTTCGACAAAGCAGGAAAAAATATCCGATGGGGAAAAGACAATCTCTTCAGTAAATGGTGCTGGGAAAACTGGGCAGCTACATGCAGAAGAAGGAATCTAGACCACTTTCCTATACCATACACAAAAAAAGACTCAAAATGGATTCAAGACCTAATTGTGAGACCTGAAACCATAAACCTGCTAGAAGAGAACACAGGGAGTAATGTCTCTGACATCAGCCATAGCAATTTTCTTCTACATATGTCTCCAGAGGCAAGGAAAATAAAAGCAAAATAAACTACTGGGGCTTCATCAAAATAAAAAGCTTCTGCAGGGAAAGGAAATGATCAACAAAACTAAAAGACAAGCTACTGAATGGGAGAAGGTATTTGCAAATAATAGAGAATAAAGGGTTAGTATCCAAAATATATAAAGAACTCACACAACGCAACACCCCAAAGTAATCCTATTAAAATGGGCAGAAGACACGAACAGACATTTCTCCAAGGAAGACACCCAGATGGCCCACAGACACATGAAAAGATGCTCAGCATCACTCATCATCTGGGAAACACAGATCAAAACCACAATGATCGATCGATCACCTCATGCCTGTCAGAATGGCTAAAATCAACAAGACAAGAAACAACAGGTATTGGCCAGGATGTGGAGAAAGGGGAACTGTTGTGCATGGCTGGTGGGAATGCAAGCTGGTGCAGCCACTGTGGAAGAGAGTATGGAGGTTCCTCAAAAAGTTAAAATAGAAAAAAAAAAAAAAAGTTAAAATAGAACTAGCCTACCACCCAGTAATCGCATTCCTGGGTATTTACCCAAAGAATACAAGAGCACTAATTCAAAGGAACACATACACCCCCAAGGTTTACAGCAGCATCTACAATAGCCAAAGTATGGAAGCAACCCATACAATATATCCATTCCCATGTGTGATATATATATATATATATATATATATATATATATATATGGCGTATTATTATTCAGTCATAAAAAAGAATGAAATCTTGCCATTTGCAACAACACAGATGGACCTAGGGCATATTATGCTAAGTGAAATAGGTCAGTCAGAGAAAGACAAATACTATATGCTTTCACTCGTATGTGGACTTTAAGAAACAAATAAGAGGCGCCTGGGTGACTCAGTCGGTTAAGTGTCTGCTTTCGACTCAGGTCATGATCCCAGGGTCCTGGGATCGAGCCCCCCTCATCGGGCTCCCTGCTCGGTGGGAAGCCTGCTTCTCCTTCTCCTACTTCCCCTGCTTGTGTTCCCTCTCTTGCTGTGTCTCTGTCAAACAAATAAATAAAATCTTAAAAAAGAAAGAAAGAAAAAGAAAACAAACAAAGGAGAAAAAAAGACAAACCAAGAAATAGATTCTGAGGGGTGCTCAGTGATTCTGGGTGGCTCAGTGAGTTAAGCCTCTGCCTTCAGCTCAGGTCATGATCTCAGGGTCCTGGGATTGAGCCCCAAATCGGGTTCTCTGCTCAACAGGGAACCTGCTTCCCCCTCTCTCTGCCTGCCTCTCTGCGTACTTGTGATCTCTCTCTCTGTCAAATAAATAAATAAAATCTTAAAAAAAAAAAAGAAAAGAGAAAAGAAAAGAAAAAGAAACAGATTCTGAACTCCAGAGAACACACTGACAGTCACTACAGAGGTGGTGAGTGGGGGATGAGGGAAACAGATGATGGGCATTAAAGAGTGCACCTGTCTGTGATGAGCACCAGGTGATGGATGGAAGTGTTGAATCACTCAGTTGTATGCCTAATATTACACTGTGCTAACTATACTGGAATTTTAAAAAATAATAATAAAGTTTAAAAAGCAACAAAACATAAAATACAGATTATCAGAAAAAGAGCCTAAAATTACTTAAACAGCACACCTGCTGTTACATGTGAAATCTGCATTAGGACACAAGATGGTTTGCTTTGGTCTAATGATAACTTGACCATGGGCTACTTTGCCACACTTGACTTACCTCAGCCCTCTATTTTTCCATTCTCTGAGTGGACCTTTTCTAGAACTTCTCTCAAAATTGGTAGGACTTACTCCCACCTGCTGACAACAGGGTTGAATTGTTTTTGGCCTCTTGGAAGGTAGATCAGAATGTGTCTAGATGGCACCGGAGGGGTTAAATTAGTGAAGTAGAGGTTACTTTGTAAAATTGAACTTTTCACCACACCGCTCCCCTTCCTACCTCAGAAGTGGCCTCAGTTTCCCAGGCAGAAGCTGGCAGCTGTCGGCAACAGTGAGACCCCCCACCCCCCACCCCATTGCAAAGTGGTGGAAGCAAATAGCGGATGTTTGAGCCAAATCGTATGCGCAAAACTAGTATGAGGCCTGTCCATCTACCAATTTATAGAATCCTCAAAATCCGCTGTGATTCTTCGTACTTACTATGAGAATGTGAAGCGCAGAGATTTAAGGAATAACCCTGCGAGGTGCCTTGGGTGGCCCGGTAAGTTAAGCGAAACCCGACTCTCTCCTGTTTGGGGCTCAGGTGGTGCATCTCCCGGTGGTGAGATCGAGCCCCGCAACCAGTCCTACATCGGCCTTTTCACTCAGCGCAGAGTCTGCTTGAGATTCTCTCCCTCTGCCCCTCCCGTTGGTGCGCTCTCTCTAAAATCCTTTTTTTTAAAGGAGGAGAAGCAAACCTGCATTCAACCAGACCTGGGCAGGTGCAGACGTGACTCCTCTTCTTTCGCCTGCCCACCCCAAGGAACTTCTCCGCCAGCAACCATACGTGTCTCCAGGACCGTCCTCTCGGGGCACCGCAATCCACCGCCCACATTTTCGTTAGGGCACAGATGCAAGCCGGCTGCCCTCTTACTCAGAACCCGGTTCTGAGTAACAGTACAAAACAGAACCCGGTTGCTCCATGGCTCCAGTGCGCTCAGCAAGCCCCAGCGCTGAGCCTGGCCGCGACCGCTCTTTAGTCCCCGGAATTCACCTGTGTTGCCTTGTCCTGGCCTCACTCTCCCCGCGACCCCCCTGAATTCCCGGAGGGGAAGGCTCAGGGCTCACTAGCGTCTGTTACACGAACTGTTGACAAGCTACGGTGGCTTTATCACGGACGGTGCCATCTCTCCCGCAGCGGGACGAGCTGGCATCGGTGCTCCCGGGCTGCCTGGGGCAGGGGTCTCGCCGCCCCGCCGCTGACTCCGGGCGCCGGGCCGGCAGTGCCCTCCCCGCCCGCCGCGAGGTCCTGCGGCAAGCACAGCGGCTGCCTGGCGGCCGGCCGACTGGCCCAAGGCGGGTGACCCGACCGGGGCCCTCCCGCAGGCTCCCCGCGGCGGGGAGGGCTGGACGCGCCGGAAAAGCGCCGGCCGGGCCCACAGGTGCCGCCCGCCCGCCGCGCCTCCACCCGCCGCGCCCCCGCGTCCTCGCCACCCACTCATCTCCTCCCCGCCGCAGCCGCAGCGCGGGCGGCGAGCCCCGGACTGCCGGGCGGGCCTCGGGCTCTCTCCGCGCGCTCCGGCGCGGGGCCTGGAGGCGCGGCCTCCTCCGCCTCCCTCTGGCCGGCGGCCGGCCGGGGCGCGTGGGGGGGGGCGGGGGCCAGGGCGCGGGGCGCGGCCCCAGGCCCTCCGGGCCGCACCCCCTCCCCGGCGGCTGCGGGCGGAGCCCGGCCGCCTCAGCCCGCCGCGGCGGCAGCGGCGCGGCGCCGCGGGCAGCGAGCTCCGCATTCGAACCTCCCTCGCAAAGACAGTCTCCGCCCCACAATGCACCGCGGCGGGCAGCCTTTGAAAAAGCGGCGCGGCTCGTTCAAGATGGCGGAGCTCGACCAGTTGCCTGACGAGAGTGAGTAGCACCTCAAAGCGCCCCCCGCCTCCTGCCGACCGCCCGTCCCCGGGCTGCGCCGGCCGGGACGGGCTGCCGTGCCCTCCGCCGGGCGAGCGGGCCGGCTGCCAGCCCCGCCGCGCTCCCCCGGTGCTCCCACCCCGGGGTTGCCGCCGCGTCGCCGCCTTTGTTATGGTGTCTGTGTGCTGGTTTCTGGGGTGGTGTGAGCGCCGGGGCCGGAAGCCGAAAGCCTGGGGGCCCGGCGCGCGCCCGGCGGACGCGGGGGCCGCTGTCCCGGCCGGACTCGGGCCCCTGGCTGGGTGGGGGAGGAGCGGCCCCAGGACCGCGGGGGCCGTCCGCGCCGCCTGCCCCGCTCGCCTGGCGCGGAGGGACGCCGGGCAGGGTTATGTAACCCGCCCGGCCGGGGCCGCGCGGGGCGGGGGCTAGGGAGGGGCTGCCGGGTCCCGGGGTCGCGTCCTGTCGTGGCTCCTGCCTCTGCAGGCACTCGGGATCCCCGCTGTCCTCCCCCCACCCCCCTCCGGTGTGTCCACCCCTGGAAGTGTTTCCGTGTCAAAGGGCCGGCCCCTTCCCCTGGGACCACAGGTGGCTGTGGACCTTTCCAGGGGGGATCCAGGCTGGGCGCCCCAGTGTGCAGGTAGCCCCCAGCCCGCGGACTTCCTGGTGTGTGTTGGTTCCTTCAGAATCACGGGGGTACCTTTCTGCATGGCTGAGAGCATCTCAGCATGGTCACACGGTGCCCTTCCTGACACCCACCCCTGCGATTGCCTGCCTTGACGGTGTTTACTCATCCTGCCGCCTCTGACCTGCACACTCACCCGTGTTTAGTAAGTGCAAGCACCAATTCCGTAGTTTACGCACGGCAGGGCAGAATTCTGTAATTTGCAGTGTTGTATTAAGTATGGAAGAAGGCAGGTATTTGAGTTAACTGCAGAAGGGTCCTGATCCACACTCACTGTTTGGTTTATGGGTGCCTATCGTCTAGGAGAGTCTTAGTGTCACAGAACAAAAGTCTCAATCATGGCTAAATCCCAACTGTGGAAGTTGGAGGCAGATAGACACCCTTAAAATGAGAGATACATACCGCCAACTCTGTTTTTTCTGTGGGGTCATGTATCCTTAATGTGTTACAAAGTGAAAAGTTCAAGTTAACAAACTGGTGAAAAGAGTTTGTGTTTTAAATTTGTTCTAGACCAGGGGCGCCTGGGTGGCTCAGTGGGTTAAAAAGTGTCTGCCTTCGGCTCAGGTCTTGATTCCAGGGTCCTGGGGTTGAGCCCCGCATCCTCTCTGCTCAGCAGGGAGCCTGCTTCCTCCTCTCTCTGCCTGCCTCTCTGCCTTCTTGTAATCTCTGTCTGTCAAATAAAATAAATAAAATCTTTTAAAAATAAATAAATTTGTTCTAGACCAGAGTGAAGTTGCAGTAGAATTTTCTGTTTGAGGGACATACTCGATTTTGTAATGTCCAGGAGGGTTAGCCTCGAAGCACCTGGGGCTGCGGAACTCTTCCAGATGTGGCTAGAGTGACGGAGGAACAGAATTTTAAATTTTATTTTATTTTCATTAGTTGAAATTTACAAGGTTATATGTGGCTAGTACTGCATTGGACAGGGCACCTCCATAGGCCATCCATGAGTTTTGTTGTTTCTGGTTTGGAGAACACAGTTGTGATTTCGGATGCCCCCAAATAAGGGTGGGCCTACTAAACAATGTGCTTGTCATCTAAAATCTGTGTTCTCTTTAGAATAGATATTTTATCACGGCTTAGAAGTCACACCCACTAAACCTGTTATTTTGATTACTGTGGTCATTCTGTTGAGATGACAGATGTTTTAAGTGGCCTTCTTTTAACTGTCATTTGGAATATTCGCTTGTCATTGTTAAACGTTTATTGAGGACTTAACTGTGGTTCTTTGTAGAGACTTGGGACTCACAGTAGGGTTCAAATTCCAGCTGTACTCAAACTGTATAACTGACATTTATATTACTTTGTGACATCTCTGGTCCATTGGGATGTATATGGGCGTATACCTGTGTTTGTGTGGTATAGGTCTTGTGTAGTTGGCCATAACATGTTGGAAAGCAGGAATTACCTTGCTTCATTGGTCACAAGGACCTCATACATATTGGGTATGTTTAGATACTTGATTTATACTGAATCGAAGGTAGGATAAGAGGCATTTCTAATGAACCTGGAGCAGAGTCGGAAAAGGAAAGTGATTTCAGTTTGATACTGGAAATAGCTGTGTGTTCCTCTGCCAGTTTTAGTCAAAGGGGCTAGCTCATAAATTAGCCAATAGCCAGTATAACATTATCAATAATAAAAGCTACCATCTGAGTACTTGCTGAGAACCAGATGCTGTGCATAGCTTGTGATACACATTTGCACACTGAGTGCTCATATCAGTTGACTAAGTACTCTTACCAGCTGGATTGTGTGTGTGAGGAATCAGAGGCTCTCTTCTGCCTAGGCTTTTCCTCTGAGCTCCTGGACTCAGTATCCCTTGCCTGTTTCACCTCTCAGATGCCTTAGCAGCCCTTCACACTTCACGGGTTCAAGATCTATGTCATAATCCAGGGGTTCCTGTCTTAATGAACAGCTCCACTGTGCGTTCACTGAAACCTAAATAGCTTTGGTCCTCCGCTCTCTTCAGGTTCCATATCGAAGCCTTTACTCTGTCTTGTAACTTTTACCTTCTCCGTGTCTGAATCTGCATACTTCTCAGCATCTCCTGCCCCAGCTCCGGTGACACTCCTGTGCACCAGTCACCATTCACCCACAGCCTGCCCCCACCCCGCAACCTACACATGGCCGGAGCCGTCCTTCCAGAATGTGTACATGTCATCCTGCTGCTTGGAACACTTTTGCAGCCACAAGAGCCTTTGGACTCTGGCCACACTCCACCTCTCCAGCTTCAGTTTGTAGCACTCTTCCTCTCATCCTGTCCTTTTGGGCTAAATTTGGCCTTTTTCTTTCCCTGTACTCCCCAGGCTTGCTTCTTTTTTTTGCAAGGCCTTTGCACATGCTGCTCTCATTATCTGGAATCCTCTTCCTTCCCCTCGCTTGCTGTTGACAGCTACTTATCCTTCCGATCCCATTTTAAGCTTCTTTAGAAAGTTATTTTCTGTCCGTGACAAAGATTACATCTTCTTATTAAATCTTTTCCTACTACCGTGGAACTCCTTGGAGGCACCTGTCACAGTTGCAGCTTTACATTTGTTCACGTGATTGGCTAGAAACCTCCTGGAGAAGGTACCTTTCTGTTTTGCTTCATGCTTGCATTTCCGGTTCTATGCATAACACCTGGCTCACTTCTTTGACCTTTTTTCATGGCCCTCTTCGTTTGCTAGCTACTCCCTAAACACAGTACCCTTTCCCCCTGTTCCTTGAATGTTCTAACCGTTCTATTTCGGGACTTTTTTTTTTTTTTAACTTGTTATTTCTTCTGCCCAGACTTGTTGCTTGGACCTCCTGCTCCCTTAAGACTAGTCCTTTTTATTTATTTATTTTATTTATTTTTAAAAGATTTTATTTATTTATTTATTTAATTCATTTATTTTTTATTTATTTGACACAGAGAGAGAGGCAGCAAGAGAGGGAACACAAGCAGTGGGAGTGGGAGAGGGAGAAGTAGGCTTCCTGTCGCACAGGGAGCCTGATATGGGACTTGATCCCAGGACCCGGGGATCATGACCCAAGCCGAAGGCAGATGCTTAACGACTGAACCACCCGGGTGCCTCAAAACTAGTTCTTTTTAAATGTGACTTCCTCAGAGAACCCTTCCCTCACTCCCCTGTGTAAAGTAACCCATCCCCACGCAGAGATCCCCTCATTTGTTTCCTTTATGACAATGGCCACGCATCATTATCATTTCATGTACTCGTTTATTGTGTGTCTCTTCCCAATGGAGTGTAAACTATCAGAGAGCAGAGACTTTGTCTCTCGAGCTTCAGGTAACCCCAGCCCCTAGAACAGTGTGGTAGCAGGCATTCAGTGGGGACTTTGTTGTTGTTGTTGAGTGATCAAAGTAATGGTAGCAATAAGCATGATCTAAAAATTAGCCATGTGCTATGCGCATTGTTATCCAAGCACTTTTACATATGGTAACTTGCATAATCCCCATTTTACAAACGAAGAATCAGCAGCACAGGGAAGTGAACTAAATTGCTTTAGTAACCCAGCAAAAAGTGGCCGAACCAGGATTCAAACACAGCTAGCCTCCATGTGTGCTCTTGACTGCTATGCTATACCACCTCTCAGAAAAACGGTTAAAAGTGGTAGGTCAGAAGCCCCAGGACAGTCTTGCCTTCACGGAGCAGGAATGGATATCCTTGAGGCTCACACCCCTTCCTTCAGATCTTTGCTCAAACATCACCTTTTAAAGAACCTACTCATGAGCACCTCTTAAGAAAATTGTCTTCCCTCTCCCAGCCCCAGCCCACCTTCCTGTTATCCTGCTTTACTCCACACTCTCCGAAGCACTCACCATCACTCGATGTGTGTGTTTGTCTCCCTTCCCTAGAACTTAACTCTATGGGCATGGGATTTGGGCTCTTTTTCGTGCTGTTGTATCTCCCATGCCTATAGCAGGGACTGGGAGCGGGAGTGCAGTTGGCACTCCCCATATTGACTGATGCTACCACTTTTTCTAAGATGAATGATATTTCAGGGTGCCTGGGTGGCTCAGTGGGTTAAGCCTGTGCCTTTGGCTCAGGTCATGATCTCAGGGTCCTGGGATCGAGCCCCGCGTTGGTCTCTCTGCTCATCAGGGAGCCTGCTTCCCCCACTCTCTCTGCCTGCTTGTGATTTCTCTCTCTGTCAAATAAATCTTTTTTTTAAAAATGAATGATATTTCTCTTGGTAGCTACATGGATATGTGTCCTGTCCACTAGCTGCTTCCCAGGTGTGTTGTTCTGTGTGAGGCTTTTTAGCTAGACTTTAATGGCCTCTCTCCACCATGTCGCCCCACAGTTCTACTTCCGCTGGTCATTAAACCAGCATGCTGTTTGGTCAGGTGTCTTGTTACCTGGTCTCCACATCTGTGCAAGAGTCTAGAGTGAGAGAGAGGGTGACTTTGGTGTTATGGCGCGTCTGTTCCAGAAGCCTTTCATCCTGCCCTGCAGAGGAGAAGTCAGCTGAAGTTCAGAGATTGGAGTGGCATAAAAATACTTCATAGCCAGCACCGCAGTACATTCTCAATGCTTCTTCTAAGCCTGTTGTCCGTTTATAAGAGTTGTAAATCGTGGCTGCTTCTGTTAAACACCAAGGAGAATTAATCTGTCTTCTCTGATGTTTTACCTAGTTCATATTCTTCTTTCTTACTTTATTCCTTGGAATCATCCTTTATTTATTTTTGTGTTTTTATGAAGTGCCATAATGGATTGGCTCCTTAGAGTTATTTTACACATTGTGAACTTGCCATTTAAAAATTTGTCTTTTCTCAGTGCAGGTAAATGACCAACCTTTCAAATAACATTAACCACTGCCTGATCTTAGATTATATTCTGGCAAAATTTAATGGATATCATAGTAATGAGATGAGAACTAGCTGGTTCTAAAATAAAGCAAATTTAAAAATGATGAATGATATGTAATGATTTGATTATAATAAAAGAAAAAGTGTTCTAAACAGTTTTTTTTTTTTTTTAAGTTAAAAGAGGGAGATTTAACTCATCTACAATTCTGTGAATAATTTCTATTTTGGAGCATAGAAAGGATTTTTTCTGTTAATTTTTGTTGTTGTTGAGCTATAATTGACATTTAACATTGTATTCGTTTTAGGTGTACAACATAATGATTTGATGTATGTGAAATGATTGCCTCACCTGGGTTAGTTAACACCCATCACCACACATGATTACAATTTTTTTCTTATGGTGAGCACTTTTAAGATCTATCTTCTTAGCACCTTTCATGTATACAATACAGTATTGTTAACTGTGGTTGCTGGGCTGTGTGGTACATCTCCGGGATTTATTCATCTTGTAACCGGAAGTTTGTACCTTTTGACTGTTTTTACCATTTTGCCCACGCCCCCAACCCCCACCTCTGGCAACTACCAGTCTATTCTCTGTATCTAGGAATTCAGGTTTTGGGTTTATTTTTTAAAATGCCACATATAAGTGAGAGAGACCACCCCTTTTTTTTTTTTTTATTGACTTGGACTTCTTTGCAATATACATATCCAATTCTGAGATTTTCAGTTTAGTGCTCTCCCTGTCTCATAAAAATGTATTTCCCTGTGGTTTCTCCTGCTTCTCCTCACCCGTAGATCCCATCCTTTATTCACACCAGAGCCTGTAGCCCAGTGTGTCTTCAGAGTGGGCCTGAGGGTTACCTGCAAGAGAACCCCCGAGGACCTTTATTAATAATACAGATCCTGGGGCACCTGGGTGGCTCAGTGGGTTAAGCTGCTGCTTTCAGCTCAGGTCATGATCTCAGGGTCCTGGGATCGAGTCCCACATCGGGCTCTCTGCTCAGTAGGGAGCCTGCTTCCCTCTCTCCCTCTCCGTCTGCCTCTTTGTCTACTTGTGATCTCTCTCTGTCAAATAAATAAATAAAATCTTTAAAAAAAAAATAATACAGATCCTGCATGCTTGAGGAGCTTCCTGGTTTTTCTAATATACATTAAGGCTTGTTTCAAGCAGTGAACCCCTCCATCGGTATGCTAGTCCCTCTGGCTCTTCTGAACTCCCTTTTGCAGCTTGGGTCTTGAAGGGTTGCACACACCTGCATTCTAGACTTTCTCAGGCACTTATTACCTCATACCTATAGCGCCCATGGATGATTTTATTTTCTCTTCTCTCTGCTGTATTACTGCTTCTGGTCTTTGGTTCAATAAATGTCAGTCCCTATCTCTTATTCTCCAGCACTCGAATACTGGATGGGGATCCAAAATCTCTCTGTGCCTACTCTCCCTCTGCCCTCTCTTGGAGAGGCCTCTGGTTCTCACTTGAACAAGACTCCCAGATCTCTCTCTCTACCTCTTCCTCACCTAATGGGACTTCTGGCCCATAGCTTGAATGGCTCTCTGGTTACCTCTGATTGCATACCACTGTCACTCCAGCTTCAGCACCACTGAAACTAGACAGGTCACCCTGTAGCCAAGTTCTTTTTCTTTCACATTGATTATGAAATAATATTGATTTGTTTTAATTGCAGGCTCTTCAGCAAAAGCCCTTGTCAGTTTAAAAGGTAAGATCATAGCACGATTCTGTAGGTATGGCATAAGCTAGAAACTTAATTCATTAAATTGATTTGGGTACAGTCTTTTCTGTCTAAATTAAGATTCAGTATAGCTTTCAAGTATTGGTTTTCACTGATGATAATTTTAAATTCATGGGCTGTTTTTAGGAGAATTGGTCCTTGGTTGTTGGAAATTATTAAGAATTTTTTTCCCTGAGAACTATTGATTAAAGACTTTTTTCTTTTTTTAATTTTTTAAGTAAGCTCTATGCCTGGTATGGGGTGTGGGATTTGAACTCACCACCTGGAGATCAAGAGTTGCACGCTCCGCCAACTGAGCCAGACAGACACCCCAAGAACTTTTTTTTTTTTTTTTTTTTAAGATTTTTAAGTAATCTCCACACTGCATAGGGGCTTGAACTCATCACCCTAAGGTCAAGAGTCACATGCTCCCCATGAGCCAGCCAGGTGCCCCAAACCCCAGGAACTTTTCAACTAGACATTGCAGACGTCTTACTAGAGTGAAAGCATTTATTGAGTAGCTGTGTTCAGCTGTATTTTTGCTGAAGAGTTTATATTTTTAGCGGGGCACCTTTGTGGCTCAATCAGTTAAGCTCCTGGCTCTTGACCTCAGCTCAGGTCTTAACCTCAGGGTCCTGAGTTTGACCCCTGCATTGGGCTTCATGCTGGGTGTGGAGCCTACTTTAAAAAAAAAAAAAGGAGCTTATATTTTTAGGAAGTCTGCTTTCTAATAATAATGCAAGTCTCTTGAAATAAAAGAATGACAGTACTTTTCTTTTCCTGAGAACAGGGTTATACCTGTTCCTTGCTCGCTCTTTCTGCATGTAACTTAGACCAACCCTCTTACTGTAGTTTGTTTTTAATTTTTGCTTGAGCAGGATTCTAAGTAAGTACATCTGGAACCAAGCCATGCTCATAAGTTCACTAGTACTTTTAGTTTTGAAAGGTATTGTATTGTGCTTTGGATTGGTGATTTACCAAATCAAGTCCTGGCTTGAGGACACTTACCTTCCAGAACTACCCTAATTTATTTGCCTAGCAGGATCAACCCTGGCCCACCTTTTTTCTTTTGTATTTAAAACATAACATCTGAAAAAGTATTCCATTATTCTTTTCCTTCCAATATAAAAACTGTTTCTTTTTTTTAAAAAGACATATACAAGTGATATATTTCTTATAGAAAAAAAATTAGGAAATGCTGGTAAGCAGCTAGAAGAAATGAAAATAACTCTCTTGGGTGTATTCATCCTAGCTTTCTAGGTCTTTCTCTATATAAACATATCCTTTTTATAAAAACTAAACTACCGGGGCGCCTGGGTGGCTCAGTGGGTTAAGCCGCTGCCTTCGGCTCAGGTCATGATCTCGGAGTCCTGGGATCGAGCCCCGCATCGGGCTCTCTGCTCAGCAGGGAGCCTGCTTCCTCCTCTCTCTCTGCCTGCCTCTCTGCCTGCTTGTGATCTCTCTATCAAATAAATAAATAAAATCTTTAAAAAAAAAAACAAAAAAAAAAACTAAACTACCATTCTGTATTTTCATAATATGTCTAATCAATTACTTGATTGGATTTTTTCTGGTTGCATACAACTCTGAAGACATTTCTTTGAATCAAGGAAAACAGAAACACCCACACATTTTATTTTTGTATATCTATGGTTTCACTTACTGAAGCAGGAAACATTTAGAAATATACTCTAAATTCAAGGTTAGAAGCTTTTCCCATTTTTCCACTGCACTGTTTCAATCAGATTGTACTTAAGCTTCTTACCAAATTAGAATAAAGGAATTACTAAAAACACAAAGAAAGAAACCACACATATTTTAATGTGAGAATTTAATACTTTCACGATGCAGTGCCTTGTCAAATTATATAGAATTTGGCAAAAAAAAAAATACAGGAGAGATTTTTCATTTGTAATAAACTGAAATTACTGTGGTCAGTATATTTTTTCCATATTGGTAAATATTTTAGATATATTGCTATTAATAAAAAGGCAATATTCATTGTATAAAATCCTTTGAACTAAACTGAAATCTTACTAGTAATAATTACTTATTACAGAGGGAAGCTTATCTAACACATGGAATGAAAAGTACAGCTCTTTACAAAAAACACCTGTTTGGAAAGGCAGGAATACGGGCTCCACTGTGGAGATGGTAAGGAATTAGTTCTTCTTACTCTTTAGAATATGATAGCTAAATTGTTTGTATGATTGTCACATGTGTAGTTCTTATAGGACAGTAAGAGTTTTCCAGGGTTCTTCCTGACTCCAAGCATTTGAGTCTTTAAGTTCCATTGAGTGTAGTATACAATCATACTTAGATAAACAGTCTGTAGCTTTTGATAATCTGGTTATCAGTAAGCATTTGTTAAGTAATTGCAGTTTCTTTAAATAGGAGAAAAAACCCTCCCAACAACCCCAAATTATCCTTTATGTAAAAAAATTCACGTGGTTCTGGTCCCTGCAAAAAGATGTATAAATAAGTGGTGAGATAATAAAATCTTGTGTAGGTCAAGGGTAAGTACATGTAAGTTAGAAGGGCAGAAGGGACTTCTTTCAGGGCTCTGAAGTATTAGACTCTCGGTGGGTTTAATTTTCAAGGGTCAGTGCCTCTAGCCTTGACCCGGTTGTGTGCTGCCCGTATGTTGTTAGCCCTCTGTAGCTACCTCCCTTCTGACTAGGCATGCAAGTCCGTCTGCAGCGGTGGGAGAAGGATTTGAAATAGGATGTTGGTATGATTGGACTATTATTTCTGTTGTTCTGCCTGAACGAGGCCTCTGAACCTGGGATGGACTGTAAAATTGTTCATATTTTCAGACCCTTTAGATGTCCTCTGAGTACTTCAACAAGTTAGTTCTGGTTCTGCAGTCTTGTTTGGCCTACAGTCACTTACCAAATACCTACGACAGGTGTCTTGTGCTGTCACAGATGGAAATTCGGTTAACAATTTTTGGCAACGCATCTAGTACATTATTTTACATTGAGAGTGACTCTTTAGAGCAATCTAGTAACTTCACCCAGCCCCACGCAGCCAACACAGCGTGTGATACACCCAACTGCTCTTAATCCAGGCACTAACATCATGAGAACTGGAATTTCCAGAACTTGTTTTCCTCTTGTCACCATTCAAGGCTGCTAAGAATACTCAGGTTCCAGTTTTAATTATTAGCTAGGTGTTTCATTTAGTCATCAGCTAGATGTTTTGATTGTTAAAAAATTGCATAAATATGTACTACTTTGTAAATCTGTTTGTATTGGATGCAGTTTACTTTGTATTACCCATCCTTACCCTTCCAGGCCACTGAGAGTCCGGCGTTAGCTGTGTCTCCCAAGTATACAATTGTATTTTGGAATAAAAATGGAAAGTGTTCAATCTTTTTATTAAACAAATTTCTACCGTAGCCTTTCAGAAATTCAAAACGAAGTCGACTCTTTTCTGATGAAGATGACAGACAGATAAATACAAGGTCACCAAAAAGAAACCAGAGAGTTGCAATGGTCCCACAGGTATGTGTATCGCTAGTGTTTTGTTCCATGTGAAAGGAAGTGACCAATTGCTCAGTATAATTAAGTTTATTTTTTATTATTCTGTTATATTTTGAGTAACAAGTTCTTTTTCTTTTTTCTTTTTTTTTTTTTTTTAAAGATTTTTATTTATTTATTCGACAGAGAGAGATCACAGGTAGGCAGAGAGGCAGGCAGAGAGAGAGGAAGGGCGGGGGGAAGCAGGCTCCCTGCCGAGCAGAGAGCCCGATGCGGGACTCGATCCCAGGACCCTGAGATCATGACCTGAGCCGAAGGCAGCGGCTTAACCCACTGAGCCACCCAGGCGCCCCACAAGTTCTTTTTCTTAAGTCACCGCTCCAACTCAGCTCTTATATTAGTCATCTAGAAAGGCCATTATTTATTTATTTATTTATTATTTTTTTTTTAAGAGATTTTATTTATTTATTTGACAGAGAAATCAGAAGCAGGCAGAGAGGCAGGCAGAGAGAGAGAGGAGGAAGCAGGCTCCCTGCTGAGCAGAGAGCCCGACGCGGGGCTCGATCCCAGGATTCTGAGATCATGACCTGAGCCGAAGGCAGCGGCTTAACCCACTGAGCCACCCAGGCGCCCCAAAGGCCATTATTTATTGATGGACTTTTCCCGGGAGTAGAAAGCCGGTCCTCAGTCTTACAAACGCACACTTTTAAGCATGGAGAGGAGAGTGGACTTTAAGCAGATAGATTTGGCAATAGGAAATCAGTTTGGAGTTTTGCATGGAAATGAGAGGGGGGAAAACATTTTACTTTATCACAGAGGAAAGTGTGTTGAAGACTAACTTACCCAAAGGAGGAAACTGTGTAGCATGAAGTCATATCTTCTTTTTCATTTTTGGCATATTTTTTTTCAATAAGAGAATAATTTATTTGATTTCCTCTCATTAGTTTTTTAACTTTTTTTTAATTAAAGTAAAATGAACAGACAGGGTTATGTTAGTTTTGGGTATACAGTGCTGTGATTCAACAGTTCTATACATTATTCAGGGCTCATCATAAGTACTCTTTAAGGATTTATTTATTCATTTTAGAGAGAGAGATCGAGAACAGGGTGGGTAGGGGTAGAGGAAGAGGGAAAATCTCAAGCACTCTGAGCCGAGCACAGAGCCTGACTCTGGGCCTCAATCCCACAACCCTGAGATCACAACCTGAGCCAAAACCAAGAGTTGGACTCTTAACTGACTGTGCCACCCAGGCGCCGCATGCTAAGTGTACTCTTAATTCCCTTTCCCTAGTTCACCTATCCCCCCACCCACTACCTTCCCTTTAGTAATCACCAATTCTCTGTATTCAAGACTCTGGGGTTTTGTTTTGTTTTGTTTTCTTTCTTTCTTTGTTTCTTAAAATCCATGTATGAGTGAAATCGTATTTATCTTTTTCTAATTTATTTCATTTGTCATCATACTCTGTAACATTACCCATGTTATTGCAAATGGCAAGATTCCATTCTTTTTTATGGCTGAATAGTATTCCATTATGTATATGTATATAATATATTCCATATATGCCATCCGTTTATCTATGGATAGACACGGGCTGCTTCCATATCTTGTCTATTATAAATAATGCTGCAGTAAACACAGTAATCTATTTTTTCAGATTAATGTTTTTGTTTTCTTTGGGTAAATAACCAGTAGTAGGATTATTGAATCAGAAGATAATTCTATTTTTAATTTTTTTGAGTAATCTCCATACTGTTGTCCAGAGTGGCTACACCAGTTTACATTCCCATCAACAGTGCACAAGGGTTCCCCTTTCTCCATGTCCTCGCCAACACTTGTTATTTCCTGTGTTTTTTATTTTAGCCATTCTGACCGGTGTCAGGTAATATCACACTGTAGTTTTAATCTGCATATCCTCAGTGATTAGTGATGTTGAACATCTTTTCATGTGTCTGTTGGCTGTTTATAGATCTTCTTTGGAAAAGTGTCAATTCAGATCCTCTGCCTATTTTTCAATTGGGTAGTTGGTTGATTTTTTTTGTTCTTTTTTTGGGGGGGGTGTTGACTTGTATAACTTCTTTTTAAAAATAATTTTTAAAGTAATTCCAGTTTTCTGATTCATTTTATTTATTTTTTAAAGATTTTATTTATTTGGGCACCTGGGTGGCTTAGGCTCGGGTCCTGGGATCGAGCCCTGCAACAGGCTCTCTGCTCAGCAGGGAGCCTGCTTTCCTTCCTCTCTCTCTGCCTACCTCTCTTCCTACTTGTGATCTCTGTCTGTCAAAGAAATAAATAAAATCTTTGGGGAAAAAAAGGTTTTATTTATTTGAGAGAGAGCGCACAAGCTTTGGGAGGGGAGAGGGCAAAGGGAGAAACAGACTCCCCACCAAGTAGGGAGCCCAATGCGGGACTTGATCCCAGGACTCCGAGATCATGACCTGAGCCAAAGGTAGATACTTAATGACTGAGCCACCCAGCACCCCAGTTCTTTTTTTTTCTTAATTTAAAATTTAAAAAAAATAAAAAGGTCTATTTATTTTAGAAAGAGAGTGTGGAGGGTGGGAGGGACACAGGGTAAGGAAGAGTCTTAAGCAGACTCCTGCACTGAGCACAGAGCCCAATTCAGAGCTCAGTCTCATGACCCGGAGGGCACAACCTGAGCCAAAACTGAGAGCTGGACGCCCAACCGACTACACCACCCAGCACCCACCCACCCCTTTTTTTAACACCCACCCCCCTTTTTTTTTAGTATATGTGCTGCTGAAGCAAGCACAGCACCCACCCCTTTTAAAAAAATTTTTTTTAGGGCGCCTGGGTGGCTCAGTTGGTTGGGTGACTGCCTTTGGCTCAGGCCGTGGTCCTGGAGTCCCAGGATCGAGTCCCACGTCGGGCTCCTTGCTTGGTGGGGAGTCTGCTTCTCCCTCTGACCTTTCTCCTCTCATGCTCTCTCTCTCTCTCTCATTTTCGCTCTCAAATAAATAGATAAAACCTTTAAAAAAATTTTTTTTAAAGGTTTTACTTATTTATTTGTCAGAGAGCACAAGCAGGGGGATTGGCAGGCAAAGGGAGAGGGAAAAGAACCCTGAGATGATGACCCGAGCTGAAGGCAGATGCTTAACTGGCCAAGCCACCCGGGCATCCCTTTTTTTTTTTTTTTTAATTAAAAATATATTCATTTATTTATTTTAGACTTGTATAAGTTCTTTATATATTTTGGATATTTACCCCTTTTGGCTTTTTTTTTTTTAAGACTTATTTATTTATTTATTTGACAGAGATCACAAGTAGGCAGAGAGAGAGGAGGATGCAGGCTCCCTGCTGAGCAGAGAGCCCGACTCGGGGCTCTATCCCAGGACCCTGGGATCATGACCCGAGCTGAAGGCAGAGGCTTTAACTCACTGAGCCACCCAGGCGCCTCCCCTGCTTTTGGCATCTTAAAAAAATCATAGTGGACATGTGAGAATCAAAGAAAAGGATGAAAATTTTATAAGGAAAATATTATTTTCCAAGAATAGTGTAACTTTTCTCCTGTCAAATTTATTTTTTTTAAACATCTTTTTTTTTTTTTTAAGACTTTATTTATTTATTTGGCAGAGAGAGAGATCACAAGTAGTCAGAGAGGCGGGCAGAGAGAAGGGGGAAGCAGGCTCCCTGCTGAGCAGAGAGACTGATGTGGGGCTTGATCCCAGGACCCTGGGATCATGACCTGAGCTGAAGGCAGAGGCTTAACCCACTGAGCCACCCAGGCACCCTCTCCTGTCAAATTTATAATACCTGATAAAATTATTGGCTACGTACCTTTCATTTGTTTCCAAAAGTGGTATAAATTATCCAGTAAGAGGGGTCGTAGTAAAGGTGATTTTTCTCTACCAAGGATTTGGCACCTAATAAATTAAAGGCATAACCAGCAATATTTATAGCAATAGTTAAATAAATAACCACTGTTTCTTGTATTGACTTTAGAAGTGTTGTATTATTAGAATAATTTGGATGTCTTAAGTTTGGATTTTATTTATTTTTATTTTTTAAAAGATTTTATTTGTTTATTTATTTGACATTCAGAGACTACAAATAGGCAGAGAGGCAGGCAGAGAGAGAGGGGGAAGCAGGCTCCCCGCTGAGCAGAGAGCCCAGTTCGGGGCTCGATCCCAGGACCCTGGGATCGTGATCTGAGCCAAAGGCAGAGGCTTTAACCCACTGAGCCACCCAGGTGCCCCTATTTTAGAGATTTTATTTATTTATTTGACACAGAGAGCAAGTGAGTGAGTACAAGCAGGGAGGGGCTGAGGCAAAGGGAGAAGCAGACTCCCCTCTGAGCAAGGAGCCCAATGTGGGATCTCGATCTCAAGACCCTGGGATCATGACCTGAGCCTTAGCAGATGCTTAACTGACTGAGCCACCCAGGCGCCCCTCCCCTCTATTTATTAGGAAATTTTTCAAACCTACAGAAAATTGGTCTTTATGACTGTGAACCCATCCTGCCCCATCTCTGTCCACTGTCCTTCCCCAGGCACATCATTCCTTCTGGAGCTAGTTTGCAAAGTGCTTTCTGCTTCCCAACCGTATGGAGCAGATACAAATAAGACAAACATGATATGAGACTCCTTCAAATATGTGAAAAGTTTTTATATCCTATGAGTTTTCTCTTTTCTTCTTTTAACATACCTATTTCTTTCTATCTTCATTTATATGACGTGGCTTGTTCCCTTCCCCTTCTAATCCCAATCTGCTGTATTCTGTGGGTTTCTTTAAGGAGCCCTGTCCGGAGCTGACTAATTGTAAAAACCAACTTTTACTGAGTACTTAGTGTGTGCCAGATTCTGGTTTTTTTTTTTTTTTTTTTTTTTTTTTTAATTTTAAAGATTTTTATTTATTTATTTGACAGACAGAGATCACAAGCAGGCAGAGAGGCAGGGAAGCAGGCTTCCTGCTGAGCAGAGAGCCCAACAAAGGGCTCGATCCCAGGACTCTGGGATCATGACTGGAGCTGAAGGCAGAGGCTTTAACCCACTGAGCCACCCAGGTG